AAAAAAAACCCCTCAGAGGCAGATCTACAGGAGAGGATAGGTCTTCTAGCAATGGTTCACAGTTATGCCTTATTTATTTGGGAGAATCTTTATGCAGCCTCTCCTGGGAACCTGCCTGAGGCAGCTTACAAAATAAAACATAATAAAAATATAAAATGTTTAAAACTCTTAATTAAAAACCAGCATAAAACAACCAAACAGACGCATTAAAAACAGATAATTAAACAGTTTAAGATGTATGCCAGTTTCTAGGCTAGACCACACTATTGAAATGATAACTGAATGCAGCCAGTCGGTTCTAAGGCTTTATACTTCTTGCCCAGGACTGGGTACACAAGAGAAATGGAGGTCATCACCTTGCTGCTGGTGAGCTTGTCAAAGCCATCTGGGTGGCCACAGTTGGAATCAGAAGTATGCTGGTCCAGATTAATCAATCAATCATTTATTACAGGCATAGACCAGCAGAATAAAACATATGGCTGGTCGAGATCAATCAAGGTTGTTTTTGTGATCTTGCTTAATTTAGACTAAGGAGAGCAGCTTTGTAACACAGCTAGAGTGGAGGCCTTCCCCTACTTCCCTGAAATCTTGGATGGCTGATATAAATTTGATGAGTGAAATCCCCAAAGGTAAATTTACAGGCTAAACCTTTAGGTGAGATTGGGTCTTGCTTTCCCCATCTCCCCCCCCCCCGTCTCCGCTGCCCCATAATGTAGGAACAGAGCCTTCGGAGATTTTCTATCAGATCTTGATCTGCTCAGCCTTGCCTCAGTCATCAATTTATTACTCCTGGCCATGTTTGTGTTCTAGAGAGATAAGCACAGGAGACGTATTTTCTCAACCTCTTTTCTCCCTGTCCCCTCATGCACACAACAAGGAGAGAGAAATCTCTAGGAAGAATTTATATCCGGTTAAATTTGACCCTCATTTGTTATGACGATATCTAAGAACTGGCCAGTGTCTTCAGGGCATTCAGCTAACTGGAAGGAATGTTATTGCAATTGGAGGTTGTCTCGGGATCTGTAATCAGCTCTTTAAAATCCCAGACAAGAAGGTCATTTGATCAAACTGGTTAGGTGTGTATTGCCAGGAAATACCCCCCCTCCTATTAAGCCTTGAACTAGCATCCTTGGAGTATAAATGACTAGGAAGCACTCACATCCAGGCCAGAAATCTTTGAGATGAAAAAGGGACATTCTTTGTTTGCAGAAGACATGCGGGCAGTGCTCAAGGACAGGGGAGGGAGGGAGGAAGAAAGTCCTCTGAGAAAGAGGGAGAGCTCTTTCTTGGAGTAACCCTAAACCTCTGTTTTGAACACTTTTCTTAAAAATGAAGACTGTTCTTTACCACATTGCCTCCCTCCCCCCACTTGGAGAATTGGTTGATTATGGCTCTAGGGTTGCAGATGTCAGCCCAATGGTCCATCTATTCCAACTGGCAGCTGCTGTCCAGATTCTTAGGCAATGAAGTTCAGCACCAGCCACCTGAGGTCTTTTAAATGCCGACTGAGTTGGGGGTGAGCAGGGGCTTTATCATTGAGCTATGGACCCTTCTTGTTGGCTGCCTTGACCTCTTCTCTAATATCCAGGAGTGGGCATCACTCACTTTGGCGGCCATCTAAATTCAAGTCTCCTTTCTCCCCTCCCTCCTTCTGTCTTCTTCCTTTAAATCCTCTGCATGTTTACTTGAAGTAAGAAATCAAAATGTGGAAATCGTGGGCTGACTCTATCTTCTCCCTGTTCTGTTTGACTGAGGGTGGAAGGTCACAGTGCTGATATTACTGTGGTTGGGAGGAGGCAATTAATTTGGCTTTTTGTGTCAGGAATTTCTGGTCTTGTTTGGGATTTAAATGGGAGCCATTGCACTGTTTGCCTGGCCTAGGCCTTTTTTTGTTTTGATTTGTTTTTAAGGAAATGAAAGCTGGAATGACAGAGGCATCACTTTAATCTTGGCTTGTGTTTAATTTATTTTTTATTATTATTGATAATAATATTTTTCAAGCAGAGCAGCCTTAGCAAAAGGAGCACACTGCAATGCCAGGGTGACAGTGCATGTTTCAACAGGGAATGATGCAACCAAAGAAAGGAAGGAAAGGATAGTGAGGGGTGAGCCTGAGGAGCTCAGTTGCCCATATTGAGGATTCATTCCATTAGTGGTTCAGGCAAAAACTCAGTGAAAGGAGACTGGGGGAGAAGTGGCACCATGAAGAAATGGGGAAAGGAGTCTCAGGCATAGGTGAGAATGGGCGGAGTTCTTCAAGACAGCAACTGGTTTCCGCCCTCTCTGGTCAAGCAAGTTTGGAAGCCCGGCTGAAACCATCAAGTCTGTTTAACCAGAGAAAAGAGTGAACCTTGTCCCCTACAGGCACTCTCTTGTCATTCCACCGTGAGCGGTCAAAAAGAAGTTCAATGGTCTTTAGGCAAGAGTTTCTTTTTAAAATAACCAGATACCTGTGTGGTGCTGTAGAAATGAATGGGAAGTGTAGGGCAGGCTGGGGTGGGGGATGACCAGCCTGCCCCCCATCTTAAGAACATAAGAGAAGCCAATGTTGGATCAGGCCAATGGCTCATCCAGTCCAACACTCTGTCACACATTGGCCAAAAATACCAGGTGCCATCAGGAGGCCCGGCAGTGGGGCCAGGACACTAGAAGCCCTCCCACTGTTGCCCCCGCCCAAGCACCAAGAAGACAGAGCATCACTTGCCCCAGACATCTTCCGTGTGTCAGTTTTGTTTCCCTTCTACAACTTCCAGAGATTTTATATCATCAAATGCTGCCAACCCCGGCTTTTTCTCCAGAAGTTGTTTATTGCTGCAACTGCTGCTAATGTTGTTGTATTTCTTTCTGTTCTTGGTGTTCCAAAGCCAAATTACTGTGACTAATGTACTCCTATAAATTTTTGCAACCATCTCCATGGCTGCTGTCTGCAAATGATGCATGGTCTCTTCTTAGTAAATTCTGGTTTACTGGATTTTTTCCCTTCTCTCCTTCAAATGTTGTACAGGAGTGGCATTTCCATTATATCAATTTACCATATGGCAAAGCAATTGGGGATGAGGTGTGTGTGCGTGCAGCCATGTACTAAATGCATGGTGACAGCTGTTCATTGGACAAGCTTAGGCAGTGACTTACCGGCCACCGTCTGAAGGTTTCCAGAAGTGTGTTTCTGAGAAGCAGATGTGCCTCAGGACCTTTTGGAGCTGATGAAGGCAGAGCAGAATGCAAGGAAAGAAATCTCTAGTGCCACTCCAGCCCTGACATGTGAATTTTATTTATTTTATTTAAGCATTTTTAGCCCTCTTTTCTCTGTCAAGGGACCCAAAGCAGCTTACAAAAAAATTGAAATGCTTCCAAAGTACAAAAGCTAATATACAAATAAAAGCAAACCAGTCTGGGCTGGGCTGGATTTGCCAACCTGATCATCACAGGTCTCTGGCAGTGAATCACAGGTGATCCCACCCAGGTTAACTACCTGCAGAAAGGGGAAGTGGAAGGTCATTCTAGAGGGCCCTCGGCTGCTGCTTAACTTGCTGCAGCAGGATCTTCCTCATTTCCCTCCTCTGCAGTTTTTGCTGCAGGGCACAACTGGATGCGCCTTTCTGTTTATTCTGCTGTTGTGCCAAAGCTGCATCCTAACTGCCCAGAGATTGCAGTTTAAAAGATAAGGCAGAGATTCCTCTACAAAGCACTGAGCTTTGTAGCTTGTGGGGCAGAAAATAAACTGCTTTTTTTCTTCTGGTTCTCCCTCTCACCTTTGGAGAAATCCTTGTATGTGTCACAGAGAACAAGATGGAAGATGGTAGAATTCTGGTTTGTGTCACTTCAGACTGCAGGTGCGTGGAAGTGACTGTCATTACATTTTGGAAACAACCCTTCTCATTTTGAGTGCCGGTTACCCCCCTCCCCTCCAAGTAATAAAAATGGCACACGTGTACCAGGGAGAAAGGTTTAGTGTGGCCGTATTGCTGATTTATTACATGCAGGTGACTTTTAATGTAGCAGAACATTCCAAAATATGACACCCCTATCACACACATGTGTGCACACACACGGGCTTCCTAAAGTAGTTCAGTGTCTAGAATTCTATCAGCTCCTTCTGCCAACTGGCTTTTAGGATCTGTTCTGATTTTGCACTCTTGGCAGGAGGGATAAAGCAAAGCAGCTCCTTCTGTGCCCCTCAGTTTCTGTCAAAGGCCTGGGCCACGTGGGTTTCTTCACAGGCTAACACATGTCATATGGGACCTGAGGCTCCAGGTTTAGCTGTGTGGCTCTGGAAGGAGTTGCATGGTAGTCATTCCCATGCCACAGAGATAACAAGAGGAAAGGAGTGTGGTGATCAACAGCAAGGTCACAGTCTGTCTGTTCCTATGCAGGTCTCTTATTCTGGAAGAAAAAAAATCTTCTCATCCCTGGATAACATATGTTGATTATGCTGAGCATGCAAAGTATTTTAAGTAACTTTAAAAACAAGTCAGTAAGGTAGGACAGTGTTGTTGATTATTAGGGGCTGAGGCTGATCACAGTGGTTTGTCTAAAGCCATCCAGAAAGTTCCTGACTGCTGAAGTTTGAACAGGGTGCCTCCAGCTCATACTTCATGTGCTTAACCCCAGTGCCATCCCAACACAGCAGGCTGCTCACTCCACATTTGGACCAGCAACTTCTCAGCTGATGTTTCTTAGCCATGGCACGGTGCTCAGTCTGATTAGTGCAATTAATTCATTAGGTGCAACATTTACAACTAGGTTTTTTTCCCAGGCTGTAAAACATAATTAATCCAATGTGGATAAGCCGTAGAAGGTGGCAACTCTATTCATACCGAAGGGGGAGTATTGCTTTTCTACTAAGTTTTTCATCTGGTTGCTCTCCCAGTTTAGACATGCACCATTCCTCACAGGTGAATGGATGTGCAGATCTTCACTTTACAATGCTGAACACATGTGTGAACAGGTCCCTAGCTTTATGATCTATATAACTGGGCTCCCTCTTTTGTTTTTTCCAGGCCTCAGAATGGCTCCATGATCCTATACAACAGGAAGAAGGTGAAATACAGGAAAGATGGATATTGCTGGAAAAAACGGAAAGATGGGAAGACCACCCGAGAGGACCACATGAAGCTGAAGGTGCAAGGAGTGGAGGTGGGCACATGAATGCATGACGTGGCTGCTCGGGAGTGGCAGCTGCCATATCCTCCTGAGCTTTTCACTTTTGAAATAGGATTACCACCGGTTGTGTCTTCCTGTTTATTTATTCTTTTAATGCTACGGCTAAGAATGTCTTTGCTGAAGGGTCGTCCCTTTGGTTGCTTTTGTTCCTTGTCTTCTAGCCTTGGTTATTTTTCTTTGAGAAGTGAGATAGTGTGTTGGTTTGGGCCAGCAATGAGAGGTCAGTGCTGTGAGGATTTTGTTGCTACTTGTGGGGTGGTGTTTTGGAAATGGTATTTCTAATTTTGCAGTAGTGAGTTGCAAAAGGCAAGCAATTTAGAGGTCAAGGGCTTTCCTTACTAAACTTTGACAAGGTCTCTTTCTTGACTATAAGGTTGACAGTTGCTCCCGGGCCCAGGCAGAGGCTTGATGCTTAGACAGATGTGTCTCCCCCCACTCCCCAACATTCATAACATTCAGTTTGGCATTTCTGTATTTGGAAGAATATGTGATCTTAAAAAATGGAATAAGTGAGTCACTTGCAAATCCGTGCAACTTTGAGTCTATTTTGCCTTTAATTTCAAAAATAAATGATTGAGGGCATCTGAAGGCAGCAAAGAGTTAGAGAAAATGTGTTTTTTGAAAAATATATATATTCACATTTTGGGTTCTGGTATCATCAACAGAATGCATGTTTAGTTTTGCTGTAATGTTATTTGCAGGTTACTTCATGGAGGTATAGAGGGTCTTCATTTTGATCCACTAATAACAGTAACGTTTTAGTTTCTGCTATGTTGAGCCAGGTTGGGCATTAAAAAATGGTTTTTAATTTTAAAAAGTTTTAAAAAATCCTTACTGCACTTAAAAAAAACTAATAAGGGTCAGTTGAAAAAACATTTTGTACAGAGATACGATGCCTAGTGGTGTTTGTCATCTGCAGTCCAAAAACAGAAATTGCCTTGTAGGATAATAAGGATCTGTAATGACCATTAGCCGTTAGAGACCTATTTTCCCTCTCCACAATTAATAATTAAAATGTGACTAGAGATATCTATGAGTACACTGTGTTTGCAATAGGACTCTTGATGTCTGAATATTCCAGACACACACACACACCAAGGCCAGTACAGTGAATGGTTGGAAATTTGCCAAGCTCAGAGGTGGCATCTCTGTGCTTAGACAATGCCCAGGTCAGATTCAACAACGAGGTAATATGGCTGTGGTACTCATGGCAGGTGAGATGAGTCCAAAGACAAGTCAAGGCACTTTTTCAAGCTGTCTGTTGTTGCTCTGTTGAGGATTTTGGCCTTTTCCTTGTTTGGCACTCAAAATGTTTGCATTCTTGTGTTGTCTTTACTGGCGTGGTGCCAGCATGGTGCAATGGTTAAGAGCAGTGAACTCTAATAAGGAAAACTCGGTTTGATTCCCCACTCCTCCACGTGAAGCCAGCTGGGTGACTTTGGGCCAGTCACAGTTCTCTCAGAACTCTCTCAGTCCTGCCTACTTCACAAGGTGCCTGTTGTAGGGAGAGGAAGGGAAGGCAATTGTAAGCCTCTTTGACACTCCTTAAAGTAAATAAAAGTAGGGTATAAAAAACAACTCTGGCCCCGGTCACACGGGCAGGAAACTGCTGGGGGGAAGCGTGGCAGTTTGCCTCGGGGCAAACTAACGCGTGGTAAAGAGATCAGACCTCCCGTTGAGGTTCCGTGGGAAGGGAGAGGTGCTGATCGCAAGACAATCCCGTGCGCAAAAAAGAAGCGCGCGGTGCGGCAAACTGGATGGGTTTTTTTGTGTGTACACCACGACTGCGCATGCTCCGTTGGGTGCTTGTGCACATCCACGGAGACGTGGGGGAAAAAAAATCTTTTTCGCAAGGGGACATGGGCAGGCGCCGGATGCCTCCGGAAACGCGATCAGACGCCTGCCCTTGCCCCGCAGTTTCCGGAAACTAGTACCTCCGAGGTACTAGTTTTTTGCTGCGTGTTTTCGGCGGGAAGCCTCAGTTGAACCACGGAAGTGCTACGCTTCCCAGATGTGCCGGTGAGATCGCGCCCGGAAACTCCACCTGTCTTCCGTCGCTCTAGCGTGGCTAATGCTCCGTGTGACCGCAGCCTCTGTCTTCTTCTATCAAAGTTCTTCTACTGGTTTTAATAGTGTAGGTGTCTGTGTGGCACAGGTGCTGCGGATCCTTCCTCCTTTCCAAATCTGGCCTTTGGCCAGTTACTAACCAGGGGGTTTACAGGGAGCAGTCCTAAGTGGGTCTATTCAGATGCAAGTCCCATTCTCTTCCATGGGGCTTACTCCTAGGAAAGTGTTTTTAGGATTGCAGCCATAATTCACCTGGAGTCCCTTTGGGAAAGAAAGGGTGGGAGATAAGTGCTTTAATAAATAAATAAATGATAGCATCCTATTGTCTGGTTTTGGAACACAGCAGTTTACAGCAGACAGTGGGAGAGAGATGAAGATGTCTAATGAAAATCAGCAGCCAAATAAAAGATGCTTTATGCACAGTGGAGACCTTTATTATTGATGGGGTCTTTTCGATTCAGTCTTATTTGGTAGTCCAGGAGGAACAAAAATGAATTGCAGGGTGAGGGAATTCTCAAGCAGAATCCCCTTGCAGCATCTGAAATTATATGCTACTCATTCATTTTTTTCCCTCCTGCTGTTGCCAATTATGCATGCTGTTGACTATAAGGATTTTAGAAAGACAAAACAAGTTGCAAAATGCATTAATTTTGCCTAGGATATCCAAGATTACTGGTTTATAACTTCATTTACAAAACATTTTTTTCATCATCTAAATGTATATTCTCAAATTCAGAATTAAAGCATGTCATTCCCCAACCACTATATATGGAATTTTGTTTCTTTGACGCTGGACCCGTCTTTGTTTTTTGTGCTGTTCCTCTCCTCATCCTCTACATAGCGCCTTCTGTGTGCTTGTTCAGAGTACTCCTCTCCCCCATCCAGGTGCCCTGCACTCTTTCTTGATCCAGATAGCATTGCTACATTCCATGCGTCATATTAAGCTTTGGGCGTTCAATTAGCTCATGCCATATGACCAGGTAGCCTCTAAGGCACTCCTAAGCTTTCTGTAACCAAACTGAGCTTGTCCCCAGCTATCTGCCTGGTCACATCTGACACATCTCTCTCCCTCCCTCCCTCCCTCCCTCCCTCCTCTCCACCAACTTTCCAGTCCTCTGTGTGCCACAAATAACTGGCTCGCAAAACTTTGTGTAGACAAGTACATTTGTAGACTTATTTTACAAAATTGTGTTCCTGAGTGTAAGGCTTTCCACCCCATGATGATCTGCCTTCCATCTGATGTCCCACCATCAAAGAGGGCAACTTGCCCACCAGCCAGGGACCACCAGCTAGGGACCAGCATATCTGGGGGACCATCTCTCCCCATATATGCCTTGATGAGCATTGGAAAAAGTGCAGAAAAGGGCAACTAGAATGATAAAAGGGTTGGAACACTTTCCCTATGAAGAAAGGTTAAAACGCTTGGGGCTCTTTAGCTTGGAGAAACGACGGTTGAGGGGTGACGTGACCGAGGTTTATAAGATTATGCATGGGATAGAGCAGGTTGAGAAAGAAATACTTTTCTCCCTTTCTCACAATAGAAGAACTTGTGGGCATTCAATGAAATTGCTGAGCAGTCGGGTTAGAACAGATAAAAGGAAGTACTTCTTCACCCAAAGAGTGATTAACACATGGAATTCACTCCCACAGGAGGTGGCGGCGGCTACAAGCATGGACAGCTTCAAGAGGGAATTAGATAAGCATATGGAGCAAAGATCCATCAGTGGCTATTACCCACAAGGTATAGACAGGAACCCTCAGTCTGGGGCAAGTGATGCTCTGTATTCTTGGTGCTGGGGGGGGGAGGGCAACAGTGGAAGGGCTTCTAGGGTCCTGGCCCCACTGCTGGACCTCCTGTGGCACCTGGTATTTTTGGCCACTGTGTGACAGAGTGTTGGACTAGATGGGCCATTTGCCTGATCCATCATTGGCTTCTCTTATGTTAAGAGCCTTGTGCTCTTCAGACTAGCACCGTCTAGTCCTGGCCCAAAAAATGTCCCACCTTGCCTGAGGGCTAGGGCCTTTTCTGCCCTGGCCCTGCCCTGGTGGAACATGCTCGCAATTGATATCAGGGCCCTGTGGGATTTGTTACAGTTCCACAGGGCCTGAAAATGAAGCTGTTCCACCAGGCCTTTGGCCGAGGCAGCGGCCGTTGAATAACATCGGAGATCCCTGCCTCAAGCCCTGCAGGATGCCTCTTATACCATGGGCACCAGGTGTGGTATTTTAATCCCATGAGGCTGATCCACCGCCTCTCCTGGCACGAGCTCAGTGTACTCTGGAATTGAAACTAACTGTCGAGCTGCCACTATGTATAGACATTTTTAAGTTATTTATTTAGTTTTAACCCTGTTTCAAGTAATGTTTTAATTGCGTTATTGCTTATGGTTTTATGATATGTTGTAAGCCACCCTGAGCCCGCTTGCGGGGTAGGGTGGGATATAAAGTGCAAAAATAAATAGATAAATCCTCAGAATTGGGAAGGAGAGGGAGTTCCAGCACCTAGGTCCTTTCCCCCAGACTGGCTCTCCATGCACCTTCTCTCTCCCTAGCCTGAGCTCAGTCTGTTGCTTTCTCCTCCCTGGCCAGATGTGGTGCCTTTACTTCTATAGGATTTCCTAGCCCCACTCCCACCTGGCCTGTTTCTAATCTCCTTCCACCTGCTCCATCTGGGAGACTGTAAAGGAAAGGGAAAGCCTTCCTGCCTCTTCCCCCTGCTGCCTGTCTTCCTGCCCTATTTCTTCTTGCTACCTCTCCCATTCTGACCTTCCCCAAGTCTGAGCTCAGCCGTGTCTTCTGCCCACTCCCTTATGCCTGGCTCCCTGCCTTATTCTTGGCTGTGTCGGAGTGATATGCCCAGGTCCCAGCCACCTCCCTGTCCTGGACCTCCTTGCATGGGCGAGTCT